GTGTGTGTGTAATACTTGTCAGATGTGTTTTATTGCCACCACTTCCCCCTCTCCCTTCCTCAGGAGATCAGCATCTGCTTTCTCTAGTCCAAAAAACCCTAAAAGGTCAACTGTACTTTTAATACAATACATCTGCTGTTGAAAATGAGATTTTGTGTTCTGGTATAAATCATGAATGTGGTCAAACACATAAGACTGCTCTTACTATCCTCTGGAAACTTAGCATGACAGATTTGAAAAACAGAAGTGAAGGAGATCATCGGCCTTGAGGTTGTTTGTTGTTTGGGGTGGGCTGGTTGGTTGGTTTGTTTGGGGGTTATTGTGTTTTAAATTTGGTATTATTTGTTACTGCCTGCTTCCTTTATAACAAAAATGAACTTCTAATTAGATGTTGCAGTTAGAAGCAAAGCGATATTAGTGCAGGTTGTTTTCTGTCCTCTGCAGTAACTTTACCTTTCTAGGACTGATGGTGTCACATAAAAGGCACTTATTTGGTCACATTCTGCATGTAGAATGGGGCAAAATAAAGGCATTCCCCTGGTTAGCACTGCCCTCTGGGGGCTGAAGAAAATACTGTTTTCTTTAAAAGCTGGTAGCGGAAGAATAAATCTGATTCCTAATTTCTCTTAGTTGCAGGTTTAAAACTGTTGAAGCATGTCTTGTCTTTTATTAAATTCTCATATTTGTGTAAGCTGGATAAGCTAGTCCATAAGTAGCTGGTCTACCTTTAAGCAAAAAAAAGTCTAGAAAGCAGGGATTTACTTAATCCCGTCCACCACAGGACATGTCACGGAGGTACACTAAAACTAACCCAAGCGAAGGACAAGCTCAAACGACTTTATTTCACAGAACAGCCAAAACCACACGACAGAAAACAATGAGAAACAGGGGTAAACTGCAATCAGTCAACACTCCGATAACATTTAACACATAAGAGGCTCGAGGGGTCAGTGGGGTATTGTTACTACACGTCAATACACACGAGAATGACGATGCAAAGCGCGCAGACCCGCTCACTCACAAGGGGGGAAACTCTCCCTGCCGCGGGCACCCAGAAGATGGAGTCGCTCACCCGGAGCAGGGGGGCTCACTCAGGGCTATCTCCAGAAGAAATCACTCACCCGAAGGAGGGGAGGGCACTCAATCCCGGGGAGGTTCCTCAGGCGGCGCCCCAGCCCGAGGGGAGCGGTTGGGAACACGGGCCCGCCGCCCTTGGGAAGACCGCTCCCAGGGGGTCTCCTGTCGGCGGCGCCGAGGGTCGGATCCCAGCTGTGGGCGCCACTGGTGTGTTCCAGAGGCTTCTGTGAGCCGAGGCGCCTCATTGGCTGTGGGCCCTGTCTGTTG